TTTAGTGAATATATTCCAATCAAATACCATCAGATTTCCCATAATACTTTAGAATTGTTTGTCGACTTTACAAATATTATTCATATTCCTCAAAACATAGAAGGCATAGTTATGCAAACTAGTGGTCATGTTAGGTACTGCGGTTAGGTTAGGGTTAGGGAAGTCTACTAAATACCAATTTTACCACAGTTTTTTTGTTATGTAGGAAGAACAATCGATTAAAACACATTTACTGTCACTGTACAACCTGTGGGACCATTTACGTTACGTTTTTAATCCATAATATTGTAGTTTAAACAAAGCCATCATGATAAACTATACAGGGTGAGCCTTTTATGTGGACGCACCTTAATAGTTATTGGTGATATTAACGTCCTGTTTGTGGCACATTAGTACATGTGAGGGGGCAAACTTTTCAAGATGGGTGGTGCCCATGGTGGCCATTTTGAAGTCGGCCATCTTGGATCCAACTTTTGTTTTTTTCAATAGGAGGAGGGTCATGTGACACATCAAACCTATTGGGAATTTCACAAGAAAAACAATGGTGTGCTCGGTTTTAGCATGATGCATTGTTTGAAAGAATTCTGAGCTAGACTTGACCTGAAAGTGAGGAGTGTCATGGCCCTTTAAAGGTGCAGTGTGTAAGTTTGACACCCAGTGGTTAAACTAGGTATTGCCCCCCTGGTTGAAAACACATGCAAGCACAGGTTGCCAGATTGACGACACTAACACTTAAATCAGCCTTTAGGCTCGAGACTCGCTCCAGTTGGGTGTCAATCTGGCAACCTGTTCTTACATGAGTTCTGATCCAGAAGTGCAATACCTAGCTCAACCACTGGGTGTCAAACCTACATACCGCACCTCTAAAGTGCCAATGATTATAACAAGTATAATTTCAGCACATTTTAAATCAGTATCCAAGAAAAGGAAACCCTCGCAAGTCTACAAGTGCTATACTTTCCCTCATTTGAGCAGTGATTATATGAATGAGGTGTTTAAATGTCTTCCACTAGAGCCAGATGCTCAAGGCGAGGAATGCCAAACACTTCCTTCACAATTACGTCTGAATCAAGAGAAAGTTAAAGCCAATTAGCAAACCGTTCCACTGCTTACCTCCAGATATATGAAACACAAGTCAGTGAACAACAAAGACCCTCCCGTTAAATACAGAATCTATTTATACGCGGCGCAGACGAGGGATGTTGCCAGCAAACACAGCGCTCATGTATTTGTTCAAGCTGTTCATCTGTGGACTGAGGAGGAACGTCTCCCCGCGCGTGACATGAGCCGACTCACAGTACACTAGAGTAAACACGCTCTCCAGTAACACACGTTAGCATTAGCGCCGAGTCTGTGTGGTCTCGTGGAGGAGCAGGTACTGGGCACAGAGAGCAGCGCACGAGCTGATCTCGGACCTGCCGCTGTGTCAAACACTCTTTATTTATAAGACAGAGCTCTCCGACTGCCAGCTCAACACCAGGAGGAGAAACACACACTCCTGTGGAGCATCTGATAATGAGACCACACACAGAGAGAGAGCAGATACACACACACACACACACACACACACAAACACACACACATAAATGCCTAGCTCAGAGGCCCAAATGTGTGTGTGTGTGTGTGTGTGTGTGTGTGTGTGTGTGCGTGTATGCTTGCATGGGTGTTTGTGTGTGTGTGTGTGTTTCTATGTGTATCTTTTTTGGTCTGCCTTTGTGTGTTTGTGTGTTTGTATGTGTGTGTGTGTGTGTGTGTGTGTGTGTGTGTGTGTGTGTGTCTCTGTACGTGTGTGTTTGTACTCACGTGTTGTGTGAGCAGGCTGATGTGGCTGGATGTGCTGTACTGGCGTGCCGTCTGCTTCTCCACCAGTTTCCTCAGAGCAGACACGATGGCCTGCTGGTTGGACTGAGCCTGGGTCGTCAGAGAGTCCGTCTCCTTGACAACACCGGCTGACCCAGGCCTCAACTTACTGATGCTGGAGCTGTGAATCACTGCGGGACAGAGCACAGGTCACACTATATCATCATACTCCGCTAACACTTTACAATGAGCTTGTGCTAGTTAATAGGGTGGCACGGTGGTTCAGTGGTTAGCAAGAAGGTCACTGGTTCGAATACAAGCTGGGTCAGTTGGCATTTCTGTGTGGAGTTTGCATGTTCTCCCCGTTTTGTCACTGTATTGGAGCACATTAGCTAACAGATATCCTTAAAACTAACATGTAAAGCTAGCAAGCGAAGGGCATAGAAAATATAATAGAGACGTCGGCGCTACTGCTATAATGCTATATGCTGAGGGTTGAACTGAGATTACCGTGTCCTGCAGAGGACGGCCGTGAGGGTCTCTGGATGGAGATGGAGGGAGCTGTGTGCGTAGCTGAAGCCCATGTGCTGGTGTTGGCTAGCGGGTGTGGGGGCGGCTGCAGGTACGGTGGTGGTTCTGGAGGGACGGCGTGCTGTAAAATGATGTGTTCACACTCCAGAGCTGCGCTGTACGCTGTTTTTAGCTGCGTTTTCTTGTTTCTGACTGCAGTTTTCCTGGTTATGTCTTCTGTGTCGTTGGCTGGCGCTTCATTAGCGCTGCAGTCTCCGCTTTGGGTGGGATTTCGCAACGAGATGCACTTGATTTTGCCGGTGTTTTTAGCTGCAGCACAGTTTTCAGTGCTGGTTGGATGATTTTGCCGCTGGTCTCCTGCTGGAGTTGCTGTGTTACTGTCTGCACTTTGGGTTTTGCTGATTGCCGCTGTATTCTCTACACCTCCAGATGTGCCTGTGTTGACATGTGCAGCTGCAAGAAAGAAAGCAAATTATCAGACCATTATTACTGCATCATGAAAGCAGACCTGAGTGAACCAACATAAACATACTAGTGTTCAGCTTACAGTGGCATGTAAAGGCTTCACTAGGGTAGTTAGGGTAAAGTTAGGGTAATTAGGCAAGTCATTGTTTAACAGTGGTTTGTTCTGGAGACAATCCAACACTAATATTGCTAAAGGGGGCTAAAAATATTGAGTTTAAAATGGGATTAAAACAATTAAAAACTGCTTTTATTCTAGCCCAAATAAAACAAATAAGATTTTAGAAGAACATATATTAGAGGAAACACTGTGAAAAACTCCTGAATGTGTTCAACATCATTCGCGAAAAGAAAAAGAAAATAAATTTCGGTCCCACTTTATATTAAGTGTCCCTAACTACTATGTACTTACATAAAAAAAATGAATACAATGTACTTACTGTGTTTATAATGTATTTGAGAACACTTGTGGTGCTCTTGAGTTAGGATAGAGGTTGGGTTATGGACAGGTTTGGTGGCATGGGCAGGTTTAAGGGTGGGTTAAGGTGTAGGGGATGGTCAACAGTGTATTTACAAATGTAATTACACAAGTTAATTACAGATGTAAATACATACATGTATTTAATCAAGCATAAGTACACAGTAAATACATGTATTTACACAATAAGTACATTGTAACATACTATTAATTCCTATGTAAATACATATTAGTTAAGGCCACAATATAAAGTGGGACCTAAATTTCACAAGAGGGCAAATAATTTTGACTTCAACTGTATATATCTGTCAACAGCTCAGAAATATGTTCTTGACCCTGTTGTTACCTTCAAGCTTAACCTTATTAAACGATTATAAACAACCTAAAACAACAGTAATGCTCTCTTTTTGAGAAAAATTTACGTTTGTTCTTTATAACAGCTCTTTGTAATCTGACTTTTCAAAGTTACATTCAGAGCTTGTTCATGCTAAATATAACTTTGGTAACAATGTTTTTAAAGATGGCATTACTGGCATATACAGTTCAAGATATTCGTGCACCTTTTAATTATTTTTTTCTTTTTTAAATATTTACCAAATGATGTTGAACAGAGCAAGGAAATGTTCACAGTATGTCTGATAATATATTTTCTTCTGGAGAAAGTCTTATTTGTTTTATTTCGGTAAGAATAAAAGCAGTTTTTCATTTTTAAACAGCATTTTAAGATCAATATTATTAGCCCCTTTAAGCTATTCTCTTTGATTGTCTACAGAACAAACCATCGTTATACAATAACTTGTCTAATTACCCTAACCTGCCTAGTTAACCTAATTACCCTAGTGAAGCCTTTAAATGTCACTTTAAGCTGTATAGAAGTGTGTTGAAGAATATCTAGTCTAATATTATTTACTGTCAACATGGTGAAGAGAAAATAAATCAGTTATGAGAGATGAGTTATTAACACTATTATGATTAGAAATGTGTTGGAGAAATCTGCTCTCTGTTAAAAAGAAAACAGTGAAAAACAGGGGGCTAATAATTCTGACTTTAACTATATAGACTCCACTCATAAACAAAAGCCACTGAAACGCCAATTCTGGTTCAAATGTAAAGCTGGAACCATATATGTGCATAGCGGAAGGAATGGGAAAAACAAAATAGGTCAAGAATAGTTTTGGAACCAAATATCGACTCACAGAATCAGTCCATATATATTCCCACTACTTGTCAATGGGCAAAAAATAAATTAATAAATAAGAATTGTCTGATTCTGGTCCTATATACAGTTGAAGTCAGAATTATTCACCCCCTATGATTTTTTTTTCTTTTTTAAATATTTCCCAAAATATGTTTAACAGAGCAAGGAATTTTCACAGTATGTCTGATAATATTTTTTCTTCTGGAGAAAATCTTATTTGTTTTTTTTTGGCTAGAATAAAAATGTTCTAAAAAACATTTTTTAGGTCAATATTATTAGCCCCTTTAAGCAATATTTTGTTTCCGACAGTCTCCAGAACAAACCATCGTTATACAATAACTTGCCTAATTACCCTAACCTGCCTAGTTAACCTAATCACCCTAGATAAGCCTTTACATGTCACTGTAAGCTGAATACTAGTGTCTTGAAGAATATCTAGTCTAATATTATGTGCTGTCATCATGGCAAAGAGAAAATAAATCAGTTATTAGAGATGAGTTATTAACACTATTATGATTAGAAATGTGTTGAACAAATCTGCTCTTCACTAAACAGAAATTGAGGAAAAAATCAACCCGGGCTCATTGTGGAAACGTAGCCACATCTGCCGACCGCGAGATACGTCCCGGGAGGTACGTATTCGAGCGTTTTTTGTTTTCGCGGATCCACGAGAGGCCGCTGTGCGCCTTGTCTTTTTTCGCGTTTTTTCTGTTCTCGCGCGAAAAGCCGCCGGATCGGCCGACGCAGCCGCCTTCCTCTTCCTCCTCCTCCTTCCCTAAACCCGATCGATGTTTTGCAAAAGCCGTCCCGAAAAAAAAAAAAAAAAAGCAAAAGCCCTCGTCTTCGATTTCGACCGCATTTTCGGATCCCGCCGCGTTCTCGCTCTTATTTTTCGGATTCCGTTTTTCATCTTACCTGATTTCTGGAACCGCTGTTCCCCGGACTCGATCCCGGTCGTCGTCCCCGCGGCTGGCTCCTCCTCCTCCTCCGGGAAAGCCCTCTACTTGGAGGCGAGCCGTCGGCCGGCGAGCGCGAAGAGGAGGAGCGGAGCGGCGCCACACCTCCCCACAGCGTTCGCTCGAAAAAAAATAAACACACGTACCTCCGGCCACGTAAATCGCGGTCTCCAGAAACGTCCGCGGGGCTACGTTTCCAGAATGAGCTTGGGTTGGAAAAGATATACAGGGGTCTAATAAATTTGACTTCAACTGTTAATGATGACAGCATTTCATTTTTAGGCGAACTATCCCTTTAAAACTCCCCTCTGTTTGGTCAAACTAATTTTTTCTGGCATGTTTTGTCTCATGTTTCGTTTCATTACTCACTCTCCGGCTTCTCCTCGCTGCTCTTCTTGACTCGGTGACACTTTGTGCCCAGAAACACACTGGCAGACTTGTTCTTCTGAGTGTAGAAGGTCAGCACTTCCTCCAGGTCGCTTTCGCTGAAACCAGAAAAGAAGAGGCGTCTGCTGAGAAACCGTTCTCCTCATCTGTCCTCATGAAGTGAAAACACCAACCTGGCCTCCAGAATGAACTCCTGGAAAACGGTGGAGTTGATGCAGCGACCTTCATCTGTCATCGGCTCCAAACTCTGCACCATTTGCTTGGTTTCCTGAGGGTGATTGAGCAAAACAAATCAGGTCCTGCTCACATACAGAAAGTTGAAATGGTAAACCTCCACCAGATTAAAGAAAGCTCCAGAAAGAACGTGGTCAGACCTGGTCGTAGAGCTGGATAAAGCTTTCGAGCTGCTGTGAGAGGATGTGTTGGCGCTCCTGCAGACACAGATGCAGACTGGGCTCCTTCACACTCATGCCCTGATGCAGATTACTGCTGGCTCGCTTTAGAAAACGTACAACCAGCTCCTACACACACACACACACACACACACACACACACACACACACACACACACAGAAGATGCAGATCACACTCAAATCAATGAAGTGAATTACACATTAATACACTAATACACTATTAATATGCTATTAATATGATATATCACTTGAGTATCGATATGGCAATATGTGCATCTGCATTAGTCACAAAATCATTGAATTAGATTGGTTATTAATGACTTAAAAGTTATTAAGGGTGCAGTAGGTGATTGTCTTCAGAAACGTGTGGTTGATCTGGTTAAAAGTCTCTTCAAAATTCCAATAGTACTGATTAAAGTAAATGATCTAACTGTGTTTATATGTATTTATTAGCGCTGTCAAAATTAACGTGTTAACGCATGCGATTAATTTTAAATAATTAACGCGTTAATAATAATTAACTTATTTACGCAATTAACGCAGTTGACGTTTTTTTTTTACTTGCTGTTGTGGTGGACGTGTGTTCAACATGCAAGAAAAGTGGATAAGACCAAGGAAGCATTTTTTGAAGGCAAGTTCCAGTATAAAACAATTAGTCGCATCACAGGTTATCCAGAGTTTCATGCAATTTCGGGTGTTTCATTTTTAACTTTCGACATCTGTTGTTGATACCGCATGGCGAACAGAAAGAAAATCCTCCGCATTTCGTGACTTGGTGTTCGTTTAAGGTAAGGTTCCTTTTAAGGCTACATGGTGAATTTTAATAAGAGTATAATCTTAATCATATTAAAATCAGAGTATTGGTGTCTTATTTGAATGTACTCAGAACGTCTGGTGAAGTCGGGAGCTGTCAAAGACAGGGCATTACTCTGCCTTTCAGCATGAGCCCTCCAAGTTTAGCGTGTTTCCTCAATAAACGCAATGAAAACGTATGCTTCGCGTTGTTGTGTCAGAATCCTTGTGAAATACAGTAATACTTTAGGACGCTTAGTTTAAGCAAATTTGATGAACGTGATCATGCGTGTTGAATCTGAGGGAGTCGCTCCAGTATGGAAGGCCGTTGGGGCCAAGACGTCTGCAGCGCGTTGTGTGTGTCTGTCTGTGTGTGTGTCTGTGTCAGGCCCGTTGAGGGGTGTCAGGGGTGGAGTGAGTGACGTATCTGAGTAGGGGGAGAGGGGTGTGCAATGTATTTAACGACCGGTTTGCGAGAGATTATCATTCATTTGCGGGCATTTGGGAGTCTCTGTGCACTTGCGGGATACTCCTAGTCTTAGCAACTGGATGAATGTAAAGGAGGATTAAGCTAAATTGTTTCTACTTTATAATTAATGTTCTCAACTCACAGCATTAAACTTTACAGTGAGTGCAACAGTTTGTATTCAATAGTTTATTATTATAATTTTTCATTTTCCATATCTGTAATGCCTGTATTTTGGCATTTTTTGCAGTCCACTTAGAATCCAACATGGAAATCAATGTTTTCTTTATTGGCATTGATTGTTTTGAAATGTAAATGTCATTAACATGCCTGTGTTTTAATTTCTGTAATAAATATGGCTGTCAAGCCAGGATCTTGATGGTTTATTGTGGGTTTGTTGTTTACATGAAGAAATCTGTGTTACAAGTTAAACAAAAATTCTATTAAACAATTATATTTTGAATTAAAATTGTTTTTGTCTTGCGTTTACATTAATTTTACATTTGAATAGCCAAAATTACAAGTTTCAGTATTTTAAATGTGATTAATCACGATAATTTTTTTAAAAAGGTGCGATTAATTAGTTAATTTTTTTTTAATCGATTGACACCACTAATATATATATATATGTAGGGTGAGACTAAAACACGTTCATCCAATTTAATATCGTCAGGCAGATAATTCACATAATTCTGATAAGTAGCTCAAATTGTCTATCAGCAAATGTAGATTTGTACATCTGCAGCCGTTCACGCAGATCTGGGGCCTCATGTACGAAGACTTGCGTTGAATTCATGCTAAAACATTGCGTACGTTTCCCAGAGATGGGTTGCGGCTGGAAGGGCATCCGCTGCGTAAAAACGTGCTGGATAAGTTGGTTTCATTTCGCGTTAACCAATCAGCAGCTTTGTCTTGTAGGGGCGTGTTTATGACGTAGCGCCTGTTGTTGGTGTTCTGAGGAGAAATCCTTCTGTCGACACTGGACAACAGTTGATCAAACTGGGCTCGGATCAGTCTGAAACACCACTGAAAGCTTGTATCATCCTTATATAGTTTCTGGAGGAGTTGATAAGCTCACAGTAGTGGACTCCAAACAAATCGGCACTGTTTTTCAGCCTTCATAAAGCATATAAACATAGCAATTCTCTCAATAAAATCCATGTTAGCCATTTAGCATCAAAGCTAGAATCACCGGGCAGACAGAAGCCCAGCTCATGATGCAAATCTGCATGTATTGTAAAGGGAGTTTTGAAAATCTATTCAAAATTTGTGAATGAAGCAGATTTGATGCGCGAATGAAGCTAGTAAACTCAAAATGTTCACGTGTCTATATACGCGCAAATATTTCTATTTATTCGCGAGTCTGGTGTGAACACAGCATTAGACTTTTGTCAGTTCTCTTCTAGATTGGCTTGAGTTCCTTCAGTGATCTTGTAATTTAATTAATAATTAAATAATGGCAGAATATAGAGCTTTCCTTTCTTGTGTTGGCCACAATGACTGTAAAAAATATGGATGACGCGACAGCCCCTTTTCCCATTGAACGCCTTGAGGGCAAAACGCCTGCTTGACGGGCACAAACTGTCGCAAAAGACTGTTGAAATTGCGCAGAAGGATTGTCTGATGGAGCCAGAGGAGGAGCCGCGAAAATGAGCGGAGTCGAGCTTCCAATCAAACGCTTTATGTAAAATCAACCACGCCCCCCGAACTGCTCAGCATGCGTTTGCTGTCATATCAACACAAATGGATGTAATAACGTTAACAAATATGAGGGTTTTATATATTCAATCGCGCCAGCTCCGGGCCGCAGCGCATAACCTACTCGCGGCATCGATTCTGGCTCGCATGCGGCAGCGCCGGCTCGCTCGATTGACTCGGGCTGGAATCGGGCAGTGAGTCCAGGCATCCGGAGTAGGTCCAGCAGAGGTAGTCAGTTTGAGCTCTGAGGGGTAAGTCTCCGGCAGGCCAGAATCTAGCCGGAACTGGCCCGAGTGTATTTTGCTATCTGGGTGGTTAGGTGTGTATCAGCAAACTAATAAAGCCCGAAAAAAGCCCTGACCTTACCGAATAAACAGTGTTCCACCTGGATCATGTATGTCAGAAACTATAGTTTACTGCTGAACTCATTTTGTCATGGTAAAATAACACAGAAATCGAATAATAACACTTCAGTCTCCTGCCGAAGCTCAGACGCGCTGCTTTGAGAAACTGTCAATCACAGCTGTCAATCACGATGAAACGCCCAGCATTAAATTACTGCTAAAAACAAACTGTTTACACAAATGAAGATCTGCACCTATTTCAGCACAATAACCAGTGCCTTAATCCACCAGAACCATCTTTCGGGACATTTTATTGCAAGTGTAATAAATGTTTTTATTTGGGCTCAAGTCTCCTTCATTAACACGGAGGAGGCGGGCTTTATGACTTGTACTGCAGCCAGCCCCCAGGGGGCGATCTAACGGCCGAGACCTTCACTCAAATGCAGGCTTGCGGCACACTTTGTTGGCCATCACTGACAGATATATAAGACTAAATAGGGTTTACCATCTGATCGTGCTCCTTCTGTGTCCAGGCCGGGCTTCTGTTCGCTCTGCTCTCAGCTAGCAGGCGCAGCTGAACGCGGTGCAGGTATGAGGAGAAGGCCATGCGGGCTTGAACTTTACTGCAGGAGCCAAAACAAGACAGTGTTATTCAGTGATCTTCCTACACTTGCAAAGACCAATCAATCTGTATTCTACTAGTTTTTAATTGATTATTTTTTAACATTCCAAATATAAAAATTTAATCGAAAGCTGGACAAACAGTTTTAAAGAATTCGATGTCCCCTTTTCAGAAAGAACAGCGTTTCAAAGATGGCCACCAAGTGAAATGACTTGCCCGTAAGGGACTTTGTGTGAACGCTCCCTTTAAAATGTACATATTACAATTCCCCAGCTGAGATGCAGAGCTGCGGGCGCCATGCCATCCTCATTCAGAAAGCTGTGTAGGTTGTTTTGCAGAGCAGATGACGCACTTGTTCACCTCACCGCTACCACTATACCGTACGTGTTACTGCACACAAAACAACAGAAGCACATCTGAGGGCAAGCCAAGGCCTCCACGCTGCTCCAACTACCGTGAACTATTCACATGCTCCGTATGACAAGAAGATAAGCAAGGAAAAGTCAAGAAATGTTTCGGAAAGAGCCGCCGTCGCACGTAAACAATGCTACACTGTACTGTAACGGCCCCGGTCCCTTTCCCTTGGCCCTGGCAGGCGCAGAGGAATTTCTACAAACTCAGACATGCCATTATAATTCCTTGCTCGAATTACAATTCAGGCTCTTGGACCGCAAGCGGAGAGGAAACTGGAGTCTTTATTGCACTTTGGACAGGAGTATGTAATATTCATTAATGTCCGCGTATGAAAAGAGCAGCTCTAAATATTTTTCTAGGGCCATTGCGTAAGGTGAAAGCAGGGGAGGGAGGATGTTTCAACTGCGTCCAAAATGTTAAACAAAGGAAAGACAGTCTGACTCCGGCAATTAGGCGGCCAATGAGAGAGAGAGACGAGGATGCAGCCGATTGGCCGAGGAATCCACTTCCTGTGTGAATTAGACTTGTGGCGGAGGAAACATGCGAAGGATGAAAAGGACTCAACGGCGCTCTGTGGATCTCCCTCTTGTAAATGGAGAAGCGATTCTGCCTCCATCTCTGCAAATGGACTGGAACTAAACAGTCCTGCGCAGATAATCACGCTGAGATGCCGTGGCAAGAGAGATGATGTGCTGTCTGAGCAGCAACAAAGCGATAAGAAGATTGAAAGACACAATGCAATGATAATAAATAAAACCCTCTGCACACAGCTTGTGAGCACTTATTCCCTACACTTTTCTATTAACAATAGTTTTGTCATTGTATAACGGTGTGTAAAAAGTCATTGTATTCCAGTGGTTTGTTCTGGGGACAATCCAAAACAAATGTTGATTAAGGGGACTAATAATATTGACCTTAAAATGGGTTTAAAACTATTTAATTCTAGCCGAAATAAAACACATAAGACTTTCTTCAGAAGAACAAATATTAGAGGAAATACTGTGAAAACGTCCTTAATCAAATAAATACTACTTGAGAGATATTTTTGAAAAGAATAAATGTTGCACAGAAGGGTTAATACTTTTGCCCTCAACTGTGTATATATGTGTAATTATAATCGTGTGTATAGAAAAGAAAAAGCACAAGCACAAGAGTCAGAAACCGCTGCTACTTCACCAACATCACTAGACGTAGATACTAGAGCTAGTGTTTGAATGATTCTCTAGCGTAATGTCTAAAGTGATGACGAAACAGCTGATTTTGCTCACATTTTAAGATTATAAGATTCCCCAGTATTGAGCCTTAATGCTACACTGCAAAATAAGTCTCTTTTTACTTAAATTTTGTGGCCAAAATATCAAAAGAGAATCAAGTCAAGAAGCATTTTCTAAACAAGCTAAAGCTGGTCTTGTTTTCAGAAATAAAGAGTCAAAATCAAGTGTTTTTTGTAAAAACAAGCACAATACTCTGCAGATAATAATAAAATAATAATAAAAAGCAAAATAATCTTGTTTTTTCGCTTGACGTAAGATTGTTTTGCTTATAATAAAATATAATATATAAAAGTAATCTGGAATGCCAAAGAAAGCGTTCTTGCAGGACTCCCAGAGTTCATTAAGATCCTTTGGCTTCATCTTCAACGCCTCCTCCCTCATCTTACCACAGACATGCTCAACAATATTCATGTCTGCTGACTGGGCTGGCCAATCCTGGAGCACTCTTTGCTTTCAGGAGCTTTGATGTGGAGGCTGGAGTATGAGGAGCGCTATCCTGCTGGAGAATTGTCCCTCTCCTGTGGTTTGTAATGTAATGGGCAGCACAGATGTCTTGATCTCTCAGGCTGTTGATGTTGATCATCCACTCTGCAGATCTCATCACGACATTTTAAGACTTTTTAAGACCCCGCCGACACCCTGATACAGTTTGTACAGTATAAAAACAATGTAAACCAATGTCCACACAGTTCACAAAAACAAACCTGTGCATGTGTGTGTACTGACCTGAGGTCCCAGCCCTGCTGGAGGATGTGGAGCAGATTGACTTTGGGCTGTGTGTGCTGGTCAGATGACTGGACCTCCATCTGTCCCTCCACCCCATCCTCATTCTCACTGGTGTGAGGCGACGGAGAGCACTTGACACCTGTACACATCACACACTGCACATCAACGACTACGTTTACACGGACATCAGTAATGGAATTATTTGCCTAGACAATAATATAATTAAGGTGGTTACATGAGTTGCTTTTTAAATGTTCCTATCATGATCCTGTTTTACATGTTACAGCCCATAATTGGATTAACGTCATTGTGTCAGCATGCTATCCACATTTCATCCTGGAGTTTCACATTATTTCGGGTGTTTCGTCTGTACTGCACTACAATAATGCCAATAAATCAGCATACTCCACATGTCCTCATTCATTTCTGTTTAGTTGGATTATGACTTTAGTCAGATTAAAGTATTAAAAAGCACTGTTTACATGGTTGACTCTTAAGGCTGATTTATACTTCTGCGTCAAACACCGGCGTATGCTACGGTGTTGACGCATAGCCCTTCGCCGTGGCCATCGCCATCACTGACGTGCACCTCTCAAAAAATGTAACTAAACGTCGCAATGGCGCGTAGCGCAAGCTCTGTGATTGGTCAGCTTGGTAGCGCTGACGAGTCTGGGCGAGACCGAGAGCCACGCGAATGGCGCGAGCGATTGTTTACAAGTGTGGAGTCCCGTGAAGGAGCTCCGGATGGAAAGTTTTGTTTTGTGTTTACCTCATAGTTAAAGTTGTTGCATGTCCGCCGTTTCCTGCCTCAAAATGAGCGAGTTTGAGCCACTTGTACATCCCGGAAGTGTTCAGGAAATGCAAAAAAGTAGCAAAGAAACTCGACACAGAGGAACATTTACACCTCACTGCCCACTAGCGCTTCGGAAGTGTTAATGCAGACCGACAGAGACAGCAGCAGAAGTATAAATGCACAGCTACGCACGTTGCATGCGCCGTGGGTTACGCCGGTCACTTGACGCAGAAGTATAAACCAGGCTTTAATCAGAGTATTGTCTTCTTCGTATTAAAATCGGAGTATTGGTGACCATGTAAACGTACTCAATGACACAATTCAGGTTTACTTTATATTACCTGCACACTATGAGTCATTTATAAAGCATTAGCCAATTGTTATTCATCATTTGTTAAGCATTAACTAGCAATTACGGGGAAATTACTTTTAAAAGTAATGCATTACAATATTGAGAAAGTACCTAGTAGCTTTACTTAGTTACTCTGAGTCTGACGTCCCCGAAACCCCACAGCTGGACACATCTACACTTGTGTTTATTATAAATCTGCAGATAATCAATAATACTGATCATAATATTAACATTATACAGATGCAGATGCTCATCAATAAACTTATAGAAGCCCCCCGAGGTGAAGAAGGCATGGAGGCAGTGTGTTTATATTGATGGAGAAAATCATCATTTCTGTAATATTTTAATCCTTTTATTGTTTTCATCTGTAAAGATGTTTGTGTGTTGCTGTTCATCCTGTGTGTGTTCAGCAGTGTGTAAGCATTTGGACCCACATAGGTGCATAACTAACGTGCTCTGCCGGACTTTAGAGCAGCTTTTAGTTGGTCAATGATGCCTTTGGTCTGTTTCAGTTCCTCAAAATAGCAACGCTCCAACAATGCATTTTAACAAACCTCCTTTTCAGACCAGCACACCCATGAGTCCACAGAGTGGCGCAAATGGATTTACTATTTAAACAACGTAGAGCAAAAACTGGAAATTTCTGTTGCGCTGGTCTGAAAATAGCAACAAATCACACCCAACACGTCTTGTGCCTTATTGCGCCGGGTGTATGAGAGGGCTCTTAATAATAGTTGTCGTAAGCATGCATAAAATCTTATTTACGTTCATGACGTGTGCCATATCATGATTATAAAGGTTAAAAGACTTTGGGCTCTATTTTGACGGTCATGCGCAGAGTGCAAAACGCAGGGCGCAAACGCTTTCAGGGCGTGTCAGAACGCATTTTTGCTAATTTAAGGACGGGAAATCTGCCTTGCGCCGTGGCGCATGATCTAAAAGGGTTGAGTTTATTTTCTTAATGAGTTATAGGTGTGTTTTGAGAATAAACCAATCAGAGTCTCATCTCCCATTCCCTTTAAGAGCCAGCTGCGTCGCGCCAAGAGCGCATTCACTATTTACAGGACGCAAAGTAAGTCTAAGTAGAAAAACTGAGCATTTCACAAGCAAACAGTTCACAGTTAACAGAAAACTGTTAAACAGAGCATCTACTGCGTGAGAATGAGAGATAATGGATCTACTTTCACTTTCGCTCTTGGATAGGGAAACCTTTACGCACAGACATCAATTAGTCTATAAATATATCATTGTGTTTGTTTAGCGCAAATATTCGTTTCAAAACTATTTCTAAATTCAGTTCTAATTTCCAGCAAACGAATAAATGAACAATAATAACAAAATGTGCTCAAAAACCTGAGTTATATCCTAAAACACATGCTGTGCCCCATATGGTCTAAAACCTGACAGGTGGACAAATCTAAGCTTGTTTTAATAAAAACAAATATAAATATGGATATAATAAATAATACTGCTAATAATAATAACATTATACAAAAGCAAATTGTTATGAATGAACTGAAAAAGCCTCCCGAGATGAAGAAGACATAAAAGCAGTGATTTTTCATATTTATGTCGGCTAGAAAATAATATGTTTTGTAATATTTTAATGCTTTATATTTATATCCTATATCTATTCTTATTATATCCTATATATATCCTTAATATTTACATGTTTTCATATGTAAAGATATTTGTCTATTGCTCTCTTGTGTGTATTAAGCAGTGTGTAAGCGAGGTGCAACTCTGCGCTGGAGTTTAGACCGGGTTAGTTTTGGTCGAATGAAAAATCTATTATAGTTTCTCAAAATAGCAACGCGCCAGCAGTGCGCCTCAGAACACCTTCCTTTATAGACCAGAACGCCTATGGGCGCACACATGAGCGCTAATGCATTTGCTATTTAAACAGCGCCTCAAAACCACTCTTGCGCCAAGCTAAAACTACCAAAACACTATTGCGCCGTGCCTTGCGCCCCATTGCGCCGGGTGTATGATAGGGCCCTACATGTCTTATGAACACCCCTTCAAGTAAACTGCTACTGCAATAGAAACTCACTATAACATCACCTATAACAGAGATGTCAATCAGCATCAGCACATGAAGGCATCCTGTAACTCTAATGTCACTGAATCAACCGTCTGAATAACTGCACACACATCCTGCAAACGAACCTGTCGGTGGTCTTCTTCTGGAAACTCGTGCAGGTTTCCGCCTCTTCTTTCGCGCCTCGAGTGTAAGCAGCTTTCTTTCATACTGGACCACATGATGTGTGTAAAAGGCCCCGAGCACCAGAGAAATACCATCAGTCGCCTGGACCCTGCAGAATCAAACAAACAGGGAAAACACATTTTTTTAAATGTACTTGCTTATATTAAGAGGTAAAAAAATATGTGAGTGAGGTCCTCGTTATGCACCAGGCAGTTTGACACGATGCTCAATTGGTACTAATGGACCCAAAGAAAATCTCCCCCACACCATTACACCACCACCAGCAGCCTGAACCGCTGATACAAGGCAGGATGATCCATGCTTTCATGTTGTTGAGGCCAAATTGTGAGCCGAGCATCCGAATGTGTCAGCAGAAATGGAGACTCATCAGAGCAGCAACGTTTCTCCAATCTTCTAATGTCCAGTTTTGGTGAGTCTGTGTGAATTGTAGCCTCAGTTTCCTGTTCTTAGCTGACAGGAGCGGCACCCGGTGTGCTCTTCTGCTGCTGTAGCCCATCCGCCTCAAGGTTGGACGTGTTGTTTGTTCAGAGATGCTCTTCTCCAGAGCTCGGTTGTAACGAGTGCTTATTTGAGTTACTGTTGCTGGAACCAGTCTGGCCATTCTCCTCTGACCTCTGGCATCAACAAGGCATTTGCGCCCACAGAACTGCCGCTCACTGGATATCTCCTCTTTGTCGGAGCATTCTCTGTAAAGCCTAGAGATGGTTGTGCGTGAAAATCCCAGCAGATCAGCAGTTTCTGAAATACTCAGAGCAGCCCGTCTGGCAGCAACAACCATGCCACGCTCAAAGTCACTTAAATCCCCTTTCCTCCCCATTCTGATGCTCGCTTTGAACTGCAGCAGATCGCCTTGACCATGTCTACATGCCGAAATGCAGTGAGCTGCTGCCATGTGATTGGCTGATTAGAAACTTGCGTTAAAGAGCATTTGTACCTAATAAAGTGGCCGGTGCGTGTATATTTCTATATCCACAATTGTCTGTGTTCTTATTATATTCAGTTTAGATTCTTAATTATAATAGTTGTTTTTGTACAAGCATTTGACTGCATACCGTACTGTGTATGATTGTGTATGTAAATAATTAAATGTAAATTTAAAAATTTCAATTGGAATAAAAGATACTAACCTCGAGCGGGACGTCAGGGATCTGAGGAGAGGAAAAGCAGAATAAGACCATTTGAAGACAAAATGAAACTAAAACATACAATATTATGACCTGGCCATAGAGAAGACTTATTTAAGGATTCCATTATGAAATATGAAGGTGGAAACCTACAAGTGTCTTAAAAACCTATTTTGCAAATGATTTAACCCTTAAAATGAAGGTTTTATTAATTAGTTTTTTTAGGTTTAAATAAGTAGTTTGCACGGGCGTCATGGTGGCGCAGTGGGTAGCATGATCACCTCACAGCAAGAAGGTCACTGGTTTGAGTCCCAACTGGGTCACTTAGTATTTCTGTGTGGAGTTTGCATGTTCTCTCCGTGTTGCCGTGGGTTTCCTCCGGGTGCTCCGGTTTCCCCCACAGTCTAAACACATGTGCTATAGGGGACTTGAATAAGCTAAATTTGTCGCAGTGTATGTGTGTGTATGGGTGTTTCCCAGTGTTGGGTTGCAGCTGGAAGGGCATATGCTGTGTAAAACATATGCTGGAAAAGATTAATAAAAGGACTAACCCCAAGACTAATGACTAAAAGACTAAATAAGACTAATGTCTTATGCTAATGAGGGAGAGATGGTCACTAGGGGCGGGGTTTTCCCCCCTGTGATGCCACGTACACAGGAAGAAAGTCAATCAAAGTGTTTCCGCAGACTGTTTCAGTCAAGTCTGACTATAAACAATACAATTAATGCACTTCAACTATCAGAAGCTGCATATATTCACACACTGCTTGCACACAACTGTGTTTAAACCCCATATAAATGTGATTTTTGCATAATAGGTGCCCTTTAAATCATTTTATTCGTCATACATTAAATATTAACCGAAACTCCCGGAGCTCAGGTTGCCTTGAATAAATCTTTCCAGAAAGGCTTAGGCATACCTTCTATGGAAAAGTTTATTAGCCAACATGGCATTCAGAGACGTCTTGTACTCCAGATAACCACTGAAAGAGAGAAAAAATGATTAGAGACAGATTAATTGCACAGCATGTCCTAACAAACGCGAACAATCAATCCGGCTGGTTTCTTACGCAAACGAGCAGATACAAGATAGAGGAGAACGTGCTGTTTCTTGCACTTTTAAATTCTATTAAACAGCTTCTCTCTTCCATCTTAAATATATTTAAGAAATGATAATAATTATAATAGTGGTTATTTTAGTACTGTATTAATTAATAAGTTCATTTAAGTTCATTTTAACAAATGTTTTATTTGCTTTTAATCATTTTTATTTATTACTGTTTTTATTTCTCATACTTTTATGTTCCTTTATTCTTGTTCTTGTAAAGCACTTTGAATTATCATTGTGTATGAACTGTGCAATTATCAAAGGAATTAAAGATACGCGAGCTGTCACTGGGGTGGTACCTTTTCAAAAGGGACAAATCTGTACCTAAAAGGTTCATATTAATACCTCAAAGGTACATATTAGTACCTTAAAAGTACAAAAGTGTTCCTCTTAAAATTTTTAGGTACTAATATATGGATTTGAGGTACCAGTATGTACTCTTTAAGCAGGGCCGGCCTGTGGCATAGGCAGTATAGGCAAATGCTAAGGGCGCTGTACATCCAGGGGGCGCCAGAAATGAGCGGGGCTAAGTTGGTTTTGTTTTCAATAGTCCTGACACACATTTAGTAATAGATGGCGATAACTCAAAAACCTCTTACCCTAAAAAGATCTAAAGTGTGTTTCCTACAAAAGGACAAAGCTGGTTATGTTTCACAGCTGTCTTTTTCTTTTTCTTTTTTTTCGCTCGATATTTCGAGCACTGCTCCGTTTAGCCTGGGATATGCGTTTAGCCGGGAGAGCTGAGCTCGCGCAGAGTGGAGCTCTCCGTAAGGGACCGTCGGAAAAGTGCTTCTTTTTTTCGTTTTTTTTTTTTTGCTCTATTCTGCTTGTTTTATTTTAAACACAACTAATTTTCTCTTAAATGAGCACAACAGTTACTAAAGTAGTCGAATGCTTCATTCATTCATTCATTATAGATATGTGCATTCTTACATTAACACCTCTGTTATCAAACAAAACACAATGAGAGATTCATTTGCTGCTCTTCACTAAATAGCAAATACAATTAAAAGGTAAATAGATTTTATAGCTTTATTTAATTTCTGTATAGGCCATTGATTTTAATAGGTTAAACCTTTTATTTTATTGTCAATATTTTCTATGGTTTGCAATGTATTCTATCATTTGAAGCTATTTGTTGTCCCATATTTTAACATCCCAACGTTGATAGACATGACATAACATTGCTAATCATTAAATAGCTATAGTGCTATCTGTTAGTTTTAACGTCAGCTAATGTTATGGAAGGGCATAGATGTTTTAGAAAATAGTAATATTAATGTAACTACCTCATCATTCCTTCCTCAAGCAAATGTGTAAATATTAGATCTATTCAGCAGTAATGTTAATTGCATTGGCATATTTATCTGACGTTTTCCCAGCTTGTAGTAGTCGATCAAAAAGCTGTTTAGTTTCTTATGACTTTACACTAGCAGTGGAATTTACTGCGATGTGACGGAGCGCCACCTGAAATCTTGCCTAGGGCGCTAAATTGGTTAGGGCCGGGCCTGTGTTTAAGTATAAGCATGTACCTTCTGAAAAAGTATCAACAAGTTTGTTGTTTCCATTGGAGGTGCATGGCTTGCGCGCACAAGCGGCGTGATGCGCTCGCACCAATTAACCCCGGCAGCGCACCGCAGGTCACATGACAAGAACTGACCAATCAGCTTCAGCTTGTATGGAATATTCACATTTCGGTAAGACTAATTTCACTGCAAACACTCAAACACTGCAGTCCTTTGTACTTTTCTCCATAGATAAAACTTGTATCAGAGCGACAGCAATGTTTGGTCAGCTTATCATCCTCTGAGAAAACAATTGATCATCACCTAGCAACCTACGAAACACCCCTCACCCCGTCCATTGATAGACAGGTTGAGGACCACTGCCCTAGCTGACCAAACATGGACAGATTTGTAATCCGTTCTCCACAAAACAAGACTCGCAGCAATCCTCACCCTAATTGACAGAGCATAACAAATAACAGGCAAGTATTAAATTGCAATAGCCTATTTTAATTTTCCCTTATAATCCAGTGTGAATACTGATATTTTTGTTAATGAATTTCAAATAGGGCCAATTTAAAGGCCAAAGGCTTACATTTTTCATTTACAAATGGCCTAAACATATCTAGATAAAGTAATAAACATATCGTTTGTTTTAAAAACAAAATTTTTTGTCATCATTACTGCAAACTTATACGAGCGATTATATCATTAAATGTGGAGGAGGGGGCTTACAATATTACAAAAAAAAAGGTCAGGAACCACTGTCCTATATCATTAAAATAAGTTTTATTTTTAGTGTTAGTATCAGCATGTTAGTCTTAGGAATATCCATAGATATATACACTAGATGTCGCCTGGCCTATTGTTGTCTATTTGACGGAATGCGTCAATAGCGCCGCCATCTTGCTACAGGGTAGCGCTCCTTTGAAATGAATGCGGGACCAATGTACAGTGGAGGACTGTGGCCATCCAAAGCCAGAGATATACACATATACACATATATCTGTGATCGGGAGTTTTCCTGGATGTTAGTATGTAATTTTTATTTTCTATTTACGAAACTTATAATTTTACATCACTTTTCTACATTGATGGATCAGTGACCGCACGGGCATTCCTGACAAAAAGCTTGTGTTTGTGTGTACAGAAATGTACTATTCACCCTCCCTGTTAAATTTAATCTAAACCGTGTCCTGAAACACAGCTCCTCTCCTGCTTTCACTCCTCATACTGACGGAGGGAGCGACTCGTTTGTGAATGAATCTCCTGAACGACTCTTTCACTAACGTTAGTCGACAATAATACAAGTTTCTGGCAGCGCAGCATCTCGTTGTCATATTTCTCCTGCATTGTTTGCTGATTTTATTCAACAAAACTAGCATAAGCCGAGTGTTTAGTGCGAGTTGGAGCTGCTTTGCCGTATGGTGAATGCAGTAAGTGACTGTTATCATCAATAACGTTACCTGATTAGCACAAAAGTTCAGAACATACAAAAACAGAAAAAAACTTAATATTACCTATGAAATGTTCTGCCTTTGTGCTTTATTTTCTTTGTTTGCTCGTTACTACACCCGTAGACAGCGCTAAAGTCCCGCATCTTCACGTAGTAACACTGTCTTGACTAGTGCGGTTGAATGACATTTGTCCTGGGAGCACTGTACCAATGTGGCGGCGCTATTGACGCATGCTCAGGGTCCCTTTGCGATATCTAGTGTATATATCTATGAGGAATATCTACTGTTTAAGCTAATGTGCTCCAATAGTGACAAAATTCACATTTGGGAGATATAAACCACTCTCAACATTAATGTGTAGTGTTGGGTACCGACACCCTGTGCCATTATGGCACTGATACCTATGTATTCAGTACACGGGACCGAATCAGTATCTGAATTCTGGTGCCTAATTTTGGTGCCATTGCTGCTGCGAAAAGAATGTAAGAAGCATCAAGGGGTACATTAAGACAAAAGCACATATAGGCACGCGTTGTGTTACACCATCTCTAAACATTTAATACTAAACAACTTTGTGGGATACGGATACCAACTGCAATGTTAGGCGTTTGCTAGGTTCATATCTTTGTCTCCAGAGAAATATCTAATCCTGGACTGATCTATCCAATCACAGCACATGCATGAGTGATGGAAATCATCCCTTGGGACTGCTGAAATCTCCTTATTATTGGCATCTGACAGACTCATGCAGAAGTCAAGCTGAAGGCAGAACGCTGGCACTGATTGGCCGCTGTAAAGCACATCTGTTCTGTGGAGGTATTTGATCTCTCAGAGGATGATCCCAGTAACCTGTGCACAGATGTTTCCCATCTCCAGTCAGTGGTGTGTAGCAGTGCACCTGAGTCTGCGCTAATGCGTTCATGCTAACAGCTTCAATACACAGAAACACACACTGCTGTACAACGTACGGTTACTACTAATAACAGCGCTTTCCAGCCACACGTTTGTCTATTTTGAAATATTTGTATAATAAAATTTTAAACATGCAGATAGCCCTACCCCCCCCCCCCAAACACACACACACAAACACAAACACACACACACACATAGCTATATTTGTGTATTTTATAAATTTTTCTGTCTGTCTTTCTGTCTATCTATCTATCTATCTATCTATCTATCTATCTATCTATCTATCTATCTATCTATCTATCTATCTATCTATCTATCTATCCATCCATCCATCCATCCATCCATCCATCCATCCAACCATCCATCCATCCATCCATCCATCCATTCATCCATCCAACCATCCATTCATCCACCCATCCCTCCCTCCCTCCCTCCCTCCATCCATCCATCCATCCATCCCT